GTCAACTTCTGGGGTCTATGTCCTTTAGGAGTAAATATATACGCCATAGAATACAAATTTTGTAATTTTTCACACAAAAGTCAGGGTCCATTTGACCCGCTAAATATTGACCGATCTTTATCAAAACATGCATGCTTATTCTCTGGCCCGATCCCCTTCTCCATGCAAAAATTCGCGGTGTTTGGGCCATAATTGCGGCCTCTGGAGCGACCAGAAAAACCGACAAAAATTTAGTATTTGGTCCATTTCATCCCCTAAATATTAACCGACATTTTCCAAAAACAATAGGGGTCTTCATTGGCCAGAACCCATCCAACATGCAAAATTTCGTGAAGATTGGTCCATAACTGTGGCCTGTATCGTGTTTACAAATTATAATGGACAGACGGACGGACGGACACACATGTCTAGATCGACACAGCTAGTCGAGATATGACGATCGGTATACTTAAAGGTGGGTCTAGGACCAATATTTCGCGGCGTTACAACCATTTGGGGCTGCACAAAGCTATAATACCCTGACAACATAGTTGTGTAGGGTATAAATAGGACTGCCTTATGAACGTTGGACCTAATTTATTCGAAAATTTTAATCCATTGAAATGTGTTAATTAATTTGCGAAATACTCTCCTAATATATTTTATTTGAATATCGAACATTTTATATTAAAAGTCATTGTGTGTAAATAGAAGGATCACAAGGATATCTTCTAATTAGTCGAATTCAAATTATTACGGTGATTTTTTTTTCAAAAATTTGTTTCAAACATTTAGTTTCGAAAAATTGGTATTTATGCGAAGTATGGTTATTTTTCCAGGCTTTATAGAGACGTGCTTAATTAAAGCCTAATAGAGAATTGTATTTTTATATCCTACACAACTATGTTGTCAGGGTATTATAGCTTTGTACAGCCCCAAAAGTTTGTAACGCCGCGAAATATTAGACCCACCTTTAAGTATACCGATCGTCATATCTCGACTAGCTGAATCGATCTAGACATGTGTGTCCGTCTGTCCATTATAATTTGTAAACACGATACAGGCCACAGTTATGGACCAATCTTCACGAAGATTTGCATGTATAATTGGTTCTGGCCAATGAAGACCCCTATTTTTTTTTGGTAAAGATCGGTTAATATTTAGGGGATGAAATGGACCAAAAACTTTATTTTTGTCTGATTTTTTGCATGGAGAACGGGATCGGGCCAAAGAATAAGCATGCCTGTTTTGATAAAGATCGGTCAATATTTAGCTGGTCAAATGAGCCCTGACTTTTGTGTGAAAAATTACAAATTTTTTATTCTATGGCGTATATATTTGCCCCAGAAGGACCTACACCCGAGAAGTTGACAGTATGTCCAAGAGGAGTGGTTGACCTTTAAATTGATACCAATTGTATGGTCGTATGTACTCAGATGTGGGAGTTACACTTAAATATTTACAGGTGCTTACGTATTCAAAAACCACACTAGAGGGCGGAAATATAGCGCTGATCGCTTTGAAAATTTCCAGTTATTGTCAAGGACAACGCCTGTAATTTTCAGTGACGATCAGATAATAATTTTGGGATGAAGTGGACCGAAAACTTAACTTTTTGTGTTATTTTTTATTTTTTTTTATTATTATTATTTTTTTTTTTTTTTTTTGAGTCGATCTATAGGCCACAATTGAAATCCCAACATAACCCACGGTAAAGAGAATCTGAATATGTACAGCTCTCGTCTACTGAATATTAGTAATATTTGTTGACCTTTAGTGGGTTTCAGGAGGGTGCAAAAAACGCATAGTTAGATTTTCGTGGAAGTTGTGTAGGATATTATATGGTCGGCCCCGTCCGACTATACTGCTCCGCTCACTGGTTAAAAATTTTTTTAAGGCTTGGATTTGTTAGAAATATTGTTCTACCCTTCAGCACACTGTGGTACAGGGTATTATGTCTTTGTGTATATGTTTGTAAAAGGCAAAAGGAATCGAGATATACTCATGGTTCCTTTTGAGAATATGCATAGAATCACTTTCTGAGTCGATTTATGCATGTCCGTTCGTCCGCCCGACTGTCCGTCTGTTGATGTTAAATTGTAAATAAAGTACAGATCGCATTTATAATCCGATTTGGATGCAATTTGGCACAGCACATTTATTTGGCCCAAGAAAATTGGGAAAAATCGATTCAAAATTAGGTGTAGCTCCCATATATTATTTTGTCCGATTTTATGTAAATGGTGTACCAAAGCCCCTATATTACTTTTGATTTGCACGAAATTTGGCATAGCGTACTGAAATGAGTCTAGAATGATGTGTGCTAAGTTTCGTGAAAATCGGTTCAGATATAGATAAAGCTCCCAACAATATTTCGTCCGATTTGAAGTAAATCGAGCACCAAAGCCATAAAGTTAGGCTACACTGACTACCAGTACGTTTATACCAATCGGTCTAACTTTGAGACTTTATTGCAGCATTTACTTAAAGTCGGACGAAAATATATATGGAAGCTATATCTAAATCGAAATCCCATATATTTTATATATATGGGAGCTATATGTAAACCTGAACCGATTTCATACAGTTCTGATCATAGATGCGACCTGTACTTTGTTTACAAGTTAACACACAGACGGACGGACATGCATAAATCGACTCAAAAAGAACCATGTGCCTATCCCATTTCCTTTTGCCTGTTACAAACATATGCGCATAGAGAGGGTTGTGAAGGGCATAAAAAAACTCAGAATATACCGAAAATATGTGGAGCCTATACCAAAACGAATATTACATCCTAGGATTAACATACATACGGATATGGCTAAATCAACATAGAACTTTCTTTTCTATAGAAAAAAATATGATGGGATTGAGATTCAAAATGTTTCCTAAAAATATACTTCCGAAATGTAAAACTGAAACCAGTGAACGGTACAGTTTAGTCGGACGGAGCCGACCATACGATACCCTACACAACTACCAAGGAACTGTAACATTCTTCGGATGATTACTCCCACCTTGGGCAATATTTCGTGAAATTTGCACGCTCTTACCCGATTAGAGGTCAACAGCACCTCTTCCTTATATTCCGAATATTACTAATATTCAGTACAGCCCTTCTAATTACTTGTCCAGATTCCCTTCGCCGTGAGTTGTGTTGTGATGTTCGGCTTGCAATCGTGACCTATAGATCGACTCGAAAAAAAACACACAAAAAAACATAAATTTTCGGTCCACTTCATCCCAAAATTATTATCTGATTATCACCGAAAATTATAGGCGTTGTCCAAAACCTCAACTGGATCCTCATGAAAATTTTCAAAATATATTACCGCCCTCTATTGTGGTAATGCGTTACTAAATAATATCTGAATACGTAAGCACCTGTAAATACTTAAGTGTAACTCCCACACCCGATTACATACGACAATAAAATTGGTATCAATTTAAAGGTCAACCACTCCTCTTGGATATAATATCAACTTCTCGGGTCTATGTCCTTTAGGGGTAAATATATACGCTATAGAATACAAATTTTGTAATTTTTCACACAAAAGTCAGGGTCCATTTGACCCGCTAAATATTGACCGATCTTTATCAAAACAGGCATGCTTATTCTTTGGCCCGATCCCCTTCTCCATGCAAAATTTCACGATGTTCGGGCCATAATTGCGGCCTCTGGAGCGACCAGAAAATCAGACAAAAATAAAGTTTTTTGTCTTTCTTGGGCAGAACCCATCCTACATGTATCGTGTTTACAAATTATAATGGATAGATGGACGGACACGCATGTCTAGATCGACTCAGCTAGTCGAGATATGACGATCGGTATACTTAAAGGTGGGTCTAGGACCAATATTTCGCGGCGTTACAAACTCTTGGGGCTGCACAAAGCTATAATACCCTGACAACATAATTATGTAGGATATACAAATCCTCAGAAAATAGAAACAAATGTGTTACCATAGAAAAAAATGCATCAGAACTATGGCCAGATTTCCCCCCTGGATTTATTCTATAGAACAAAAATCTCTGCTCTTAGTTTGGATTTCTTGTAATTCAATATTACCATATTTTGAATAACGGCATATTTGTGATGATCGACAAAAATCTGGGCGGTTAAGAATATTATTTCGAACACGTGCCCATTTACCTTTCTTTGATTTTTTATCAAAAAAAGAAAAAAACAATCCTGAATCTTGGGATATACCCAAATGTCAAAATGCCTAAAAAATTAAAAACAAGTTCCGACAAGCGTGGGCAATTTCTTTTAATGATCGAATATAAAATCAAATGCACGCCATAATAATTTTTAAAATAGTAACAGAAGAATGTTATAGTCATTGTTTGTATGTTAGTATTCAATTAACCTATAAATAAATTTTGGAATTTTGAATTTGAATGGAGAAAGCTGTACCACAAAACATAATTATAAAAATGTCTAAATAATTCAATGGTCATTCACAATTCGTTTAATGGATATTTTTTTTATTGTAGACTAAAAGTAAATAAATTGTGTACTTTGTTCGTCTAAAAAAAAATTATTAAAAAAAATAGGGAAGTTAATTTTAATAGATATCCGAAATAAATTTTTTCTATTTTATTTAAAAAGAATAAATAATTGGTCTTTAATATACAAATATATAATAAATGAACATACTTAGAATATTTCATTTATTTGGATTTTAATGGATTTTGAGAATTTCTTCATTGTTTTGTGATGTAAAGCTAACTAATTTTTTATATTAGTTAAAATAAAAATGTTCGATTTTCAATGTTTGCCATAATAATATTATTTTATTTATTTATTATTTTTTTATTTATTATTATTATTAATTTATTTATTTTTAAAGAATATTTTTCTTTTCGAAATTTTATTTATATATCAGTTAATAATATAAACCTTATTATTTTACTTTTCATTTAATCATTTGTTCTTACTTATAATATTTGTATACCAGCACTATCCTCACTTTCTCCTCCTTGTAGGTTTAAAAACTCCACCCCCTGTCACCATCATGTTAGATAAAGTACCCATTGCCCCAAAGCTGCTCACCAAAATCAAAGAAAAACCCAAATTTCAATTTGAAAATGATCCAGGATTTGTGAAAATCGATCAGGTCGATGAAAAGGAAGAGGATCGCATTGCCAAATGTTTTGAAGGGCGTTCACTATTTATAACTGGTGGTACCGGATTTTTGGGTAAAGTGCTAGTCGAAAAACTATTAAGGTAAGCATATTCAAACAGAATTTCCAATTTGGAATTTATTTAAAAAAAATCGAAAAAATTTTATCTTCAAGGTCCTGTGGTGGTTTTAAAAAAATCTATCTATTGGTAAGACCGAAAAAGGGCAAGACTCCTGAAGAGCGTCTTAAGGATATTTTGGATAATGTGGTAAGTATAAAAAAGGTTTATTCTAAAAATGGTCTCTGAAAAATGTTCCTTAAAAACTCCACTCAAAGGTCTGTGAAAAATGTTCCTTAAAAACTCCACCCAAAGGTCTGTGAAAAATGTTCCTTAAAAACTCCACCCAAAGGTCTGTGAAAAATGTTCCTTAAAAACTCCACCCAAAGGTCTCTGAAAAATGTTCCTTAAAAACTCCACCCAAAGGCCTCTGAAAAATGTTCTTTAAAAAATCCACCCCTTGGATGACCTTGAAAAAATAGTCTTTAAAAAATCCACGCCTTGAATAGATCTTTAAAAAATCCACACCTTGGATAGACCGTGAAAAAATACTCTTTAAAAATCCACGCCTTAAATAGATTATCAAAAAATACTCTTTAAAAAATTCACGCCTTGAATAGATCTTTAAAAAATCCACTCCTTGGATAGACCTTGAAAAAATACTCTTTAAAAAATCCACGCCTTGGATAGACCTTGAAAAAATACTCTTTAAAAAATCCACGCCTTGGATAGACCTTGAAAAAATATTCTTTAAAAAATACACGCCTTGGAAAGACCTTAAAAAAAATCCCCTTGGATAGACCTTGAAAAATGTTCCTTAAAAACTCCTCTCAAAGGACTCTGAAAAATGTTCCTTAAAAACTCCACGCAAAGGTCTCTGAAAAATGTTCCTTAAAAACTCCACACAAAGGCCTCTGAAAAATTTTCTTTAAAAAATCCACCCCTTGGATAGACCTTGAAAAAAAAATTATTTTAAAAATCCACACCTTGGATAGACCTTGAAAAAACATTCTTTAAAAATCCCCGCCTCCTTTAGACCTTGAAAAAAATTCTTTAAAAAATCCATATTATTTTCAGCTCTTCGATAAAGTTAAACAACAACATAGCCTAGACTGGATATTTACTAAAATCCAATTGATTGCTGGAGATGTTATGGAACCGCAGCTGGGCATATCCTCCGAAGATATAGAACTGCTAAGAAATGAAGTATCAATTGTGGTGCACTGTGCGGCAACTGTGAGGTAGGTTTTTAATGCTCCATTCATAATCCTAAGAAATATTTTATTTCCCTCTTTCCTTCAGATTCGATGAACCCCTACGCAAGGCTGTCTTCCTGAATGTTCGCGGAACAAAATACTGTCTCGATTTAGCCAGTACATTTAAGAATTTATCATTATTTTGGTATGTCTCGACCACCTATTGTCATGTGCACATCAAACATTTGTACGAGAAACCCTATGATCCGCCAGCAGATCCCCACAGCATGATTAGCCTTTGCGAAATGTTAAGCGATCGGGATATGGCAGATCTTGAAAAACGACTAATGGGCGATATACCCAATTCATATTCGTATACCAAAGCCTTAGCTGAGTCTTTGGTGGTGGAGAGATTTAAGACAATGCCTGCGGGTATTTTGCGTCCATCAATTGTAATACCCGTATGGCAGGAGCCACTACGTGGATGGACAGATAATATCAATGGTCCAACGGGACTGCTAATTGGCGCCGGCAAAGGTGTTATACGCACCATGTATTGTAAAGAAAACGGTTATGGAGATTTTCTACCCGTCGATGTGGCCGTCAATGGTATTCTCTTGGGTACATGGCGGTATTTAACAACGGAATATGAACCCGTCGAAATGCCCATCGTTAATTTGTCCAGTTCCAATGAAATTAAAGTCTCGTGGAAAGAAATTGTTGAAATGGGTCGTTGGGTGGTGGAAAATCGTGTGCCATTAAATGGCTGCGCCTGGTATCCAGGTGGTTCGATGAAATCGAATTTAGTACTGCATTGGATAGCTATGGTGTTTTGCCATTGGCTGCCGGCAATACTTGTGGATTTCCTGTTGGTCCTACTGCGATATCCTCCGGTGTAAGTGAGAATTAAAATTTGTGATCTGTTTTCGTACTGCAAGTTTTTACTATTTTTTTTTTTTCGATATTATAAAGGGCAAATTGTTATCGTAGTAAAAAGTAGTAGATTCTTGCAGGTTCGGGAACAGACACGTGATTTTTTAGAGAATATTTGTAATTCCCATAATTGGTTTTCTGTAGTTTAATACGTGTCCAAAAACGTGTTACCAAGGGTCTGGATGTCATCAGCTACTATGCCAATGGCCAATGGAATTTCGATAATACCAATGCCGTTGAAGTCCGAAAGCTAATGAATAATCGTGAACGTCGGACATATGTGGTGGAGAAAATCGAATTTGACATGATCGATTATTTCACCGATTGTCTGATGTGTGCTCGCCGTCTGATTCTCAAGGAAACGGATGATACAATCCCGGCAGCCAAGAGGCACATGAAAATGTAAGTATAAAAAATAATTTTATTTTAAATTTATCTGCCAGATTTGTTCAGAACACCCTAATAAAATTAGCGATACCAGAGGAAAAATCAGGAAATCTAGAAAGATCAACTGCATATTAGCTGATCTTATGTTTTGCTGTCAAAGTAAATTGTCTTCACATAATGGAAGGTCTATTAATAAAGTCATCCAGGGAGATCAGCTGGATATCAGCTGTCCTTTCAAGTTTACTGTCAAAATTCGTTATTGTGAATTGTCTTCCATTATGGAAACGTAGACAAAGTTCAAACTTTTGATATTAGACTTGAGAATTAACAGCTGACTGGGTGACCTTATTAATAGATCTTCACATTATGAAAATAGAAATAGCGTCCAAATAACAGCTGTTTTACGTTTACATTATGTGAAGTAAATTCACAATATTGGCTTTCGACAGTAAACTTGGATAACCTTGTTAATAGGCCTTGTTTTCAACCTTTTACTGCATGCGGATTTCTATAAATAAAATGTCTATCAAGGCCTAGAATGAAGATCAGCTGCTTCCCATGTTTACTGCCGGAATTCCTTATTGTAAATTGAATTCATACTATGAAAACGTAAACCAAGGCTAATTGACAAGTTCACCAAAAAGGATATTTGTTCTCAAATTAAATGTCAAAAATTTGGATGCCATTTACGTTTTCATAATGTGAAGATAATGCAGTTTGACAGCAAACTTGAGAACAGCTGATAGTTGATCTTCTTTCATCAATATACCTTGGCGTTAAAAAACGTCCGTTTTCTGTTTGACCTCATTAATACATATTGATGTTAATCGAATGCCACCTTAAGTATGCCATTTTTTTTTAATACAAGGCCTCTTAATAAGGTCATCCAGGGAGACCAGCTGGATATTAGCAGCCTCTCAAGTTTACTGTCAAAATCTATTATTGTGAATTTTATTTCATATCTTTTATTATTTTTTCATCACTCTATCCGTCTTTCTCTTTACAGCATGTGGTGTGTGGATAAAATCTTTAAATTCCTATTCTTATTCGGAATAGCCTATTATCTGTATCAAAGCTTCTTTGCCGATTTTGTCGAAAATCTAGTTGACAATTATAAATCCTACAATTCCACCAACATCAATGGTACCACTAATCTTACATCATCGGATTGGAATCAAACCCATATTGGTAGCATGCTAGAAGATATTATGTCATCAAAACTGGAAGTGGTTTGAGGCTATATAGGGATCACTAAGAGACTAATAGTACGTTTACATTATACTGGATTTTGTGAAACCAATGGGTTTAAAGTTTTAATTCATTTGCAAATGTGTCAAATAAATCCTCATAAAGTAGGTTAACCCGGTAAAAAGTTCTATCATATATATGCCGTTTAATATACAAATTTAATAATTATTATAGTATAATTTTAGAAAATAATATTACAAATTATTTTTAATTTATTATTATTTAAAATAAATTAATTAATATATGAAATTATACATCATAATAGTTTCTTCTTTCATTTCTACAATAGTTTCCAGAAAGACCAGCTGATATGCTCTCGTGCTGTCAAAATGTCACTCATTTTGAATTGTACATAACGAATCAAAAATAATGACAAATAATTCAATCACAATGGCATGTAAAATTTTAGAACCTTATGGTTCCAAAAATATATGTAGAATCCTAAAGGATTTTATTTCTTTACGGAGAAGTGAATTTTTAGACATGTCCTATAATGTGCCGCACATAGACAGACGTTTAGGAGTGTCGGTTAATTAAAAATGGACGTAAATAGGAAAGTCCCCGGAATTTTCTCGAAAAAATTCATATATCTCGAATATGAAAAGATTTTGGAGCGTATTTTTTATCTCAAATCTAATAATTGATTAAATAATTGGTTGAAATTTAAATAAAAATAAATTTAAAAATTTAAATTAACTATTGGTAAATCATGAAATGGTAATGCCGTGCTCTCTCTCTCTCTGCTTCTCGTCAATAGCAAAGCAAGTTGACAACAACGTTGCCAACCTACAGTATGGTCAATAAAACCGTATCATATGTCGTCATTGCAGTTTATTTTAAGCAGAGTTGTGCAAACTCAAATGTAATTTCAGATCGGATTATTTTTAAGAAAATTTTCTAAAGGACCCGCCGACCAATAGGCTGGTAATATTTGGATAATGTTTGTTAAGCAGCTATCAGATAAAAAAATTGATTTTGGAAAAAATAGTTTTTGAAATGTCCGTGACCTCGTAGCCAAAAATATTTTTATTTAATTTAAATTATAACAAATAAATATATTTTTATAATTTTTTCTAAAAACAAAATGGTTATTTTTTCCATAAATTTATTAATTTCGAGAAAAAAAAAACAAAAAGATAATATTTCGAACTTTTTTAAAATTTTTGAAAAGTATTCGAATTTCAAAAAAGTTCTTCGAATTTTCCTTCAAAGATTTATCCGAGATTGTACAGAATATCTAAAGTTCCTTTAATATTTCAGTCGTGTTTCTTTACGAATTCGTTTAGAGTTTGCAAAGCATATTTTCGGATTCGTAAGTACACAATTTTGTTCCAATTCCGGCATCACAATCGGACACTTTTGCAGAGTATCATTCCGAATGCGGAAAAAACATAGGAACAAATTGTTAGCTGGGAAGCCAAAATATGAACAAAATTGTAATTTATAAGTTGATATAGCCTACCTACTACTACTACTCAAATACTTAAAATAGGGTTATCTTTGTATGGGGCCTACCAGAAAAAGTGGAACTACATCGATAAATTTTTGCATGGATATTTGGTAGCCAAAGAGAACTCTCTGTGCCAAATAACAGTAAATTTTATAGTAAAATGTGTCTAATAGACAAAAAATAACTTAAATTGGGAGGTACGGTTATATGGGGGCCTATATAAAAGCATAGACCCAGAGACCCCATTTACTATACCAGTAGTTGTATTGATGAAAACACCAAATTTTGGCCGCTTATGACAAGTGGTTCGCCAGTTAATGAGTTTATATCCAATTTTAGGGTAAATACTCAAAATAGGGGTGTATTTCTATGAGGGCTATCAAAAACGTGGACCTACATCGATAAATTTTAATTGCATGGATATTTTGTACCCAAAGAGAACTCTCTGTGCCAATTTAATCATAAAATGTGTTTAATAGACAAAAAATACCTTAAATCGGGAGGTTCGGTTATTATGAAGACTTTATAAAAACATAGACTCAGATACCCATTTTCCATACCAGTAGTTGTATTGATATAAAAACCAAATGAGCCAAATTTTGGCCGAGTTTGAGTTTATACCCACGTCGGAACAAGTCTATTTTAGGGCCCCTCGCTGATGGTTTTTAAATGTTTACCACATGTAGTCCCACGGGCCCTGATTACAACGGTATACTTTTATTGCGGAAGTCGGTATTTTCCGATATATGGGTCTCAGAAATTGGGACCTTTGAACTTTTTCATGATTATAAAAATTTACGAAGGCAATGTGTGTATCAATTTAAAGAATTTGAAGCCCCGATTACAAAAATATAATATTCTTATCAAATAAGTCCATACTTTTTGAGATATGGATCTGCAAAGATCCGCGGGACCCTGCTTCAATTCTGAAAAAAGTATGGGTAGCCGGCATATGGACAGGTAATATATGGACAGGTAATGGTAACTACGGCTACGCGACCGAATCTCATCTTAATTAAAATAGTGTTTTAGTGTAGCCGGCCTTCGACTGCGAATTTAAAACTTTCTCTGGCTACACCGTGTACGCGATCGCATCTCCTTTAATTTGAATAGTGTTTATGTAATCAGGACTTCAAACGCATAAAATTGATACTCATATTGCCTCAGAAAATTTTAAAAATCGTCAGAAAATACAAGGTTCCAAACGAAACTTTGCAGGACCATGTCTCCGGAAATACAAATTTCCGCAAGAAAAAAAAAATACCGTTGTAATCAGGACCGCAAGGGCTACATGTGGAAAAAATTCAAAACGATCCGCGAGGGACCCTGAACTAGACTAGAATCCGACTGAGCAAAGTGAACTAGATAATCGAATAAGCTGCTGTAAATAGTACCCATAGTTCACTCCACGAAGTCATTTCATTGAACACTAGTTAATTTCGCAACACCAAAACCCTGCATGTAGAACATCTGACAGCTGTCAAATGTTACATTGAAGAAATTTTTTTTGTTCGGTCGGTCTCCCCCTTGTAGAAAAATTTGTTTTCCTCTTGTTTTATTTGAAAAAAAGACAATTTAATTCATACCGAAAATAATGAACTAAATTCGAAACAAATTGTATTGAAATATGTAAAAATAAGCATGCACAAACAGAATGGTGTGTGAAAGAAAATAAAAGAAAAAAAAACAAGAATCGAAGAATTTTTGCATACTGTATTATTTGGCAAGCAATTGTTTGAAAGGATTTCGAAGGAAGGAACTGTCATTGGATTGGGTTAATGATCCTTGCCATTTGTGTACTAAGGAAGCGATAACAACAATTACAATAACAACAACAGTCATATAAACAACAACTGTTTTTGGGTTATAAAAAAAGAAACAAAAACCAATTCTTCTACCCTTTGACTTTAATGAACTTCGTTACTCATCCTCCTGCTTCACAATCACCACCCCGTCATCGTTCAAGCAATAAATAAAGTAGCGGCCTAACTTTGCTTTTTTCAAATTTTATGTAATCGAACAAATATTTATTATTTGTCGTCATATTAATAATAAGAAGTGAATATATTATTAAAAAAATACCAGACTAGGTTGAGGGGCCTTCGAAGTGCATTGGGAGGCAAAACATCTGCAACAGCTGTTAATTGCGTGTGTTGGTTGGTGGTGTGTGAATGGATGATTTCGTGGTGTTGCCTCATAAAACATAACCCACCAAGACAATCCAAGAGAATATTTTAGCTATCGGGAAATTGTATGCGGATTCATCTTAATTTAACGAAAAAACTACTGGTGCTACTATTCCATCTATGTGCTAAGAAGATCAGAACGGGGACAACTCTACTCTTCATCATTCCATCAGGCCCTTAAAACGAAACAACATTACAAATATGTCTACAACTAATTCCCCGGCCGTATCTTCAGTGTCCATGATCGGTAGCGGTACCATGGAGGGTACCCTCAGCAAATGGACAAATGTCATGAAGGGATGGCAATATCGTTTCTTTGTATTGGATGAAAATGCCGGTCTCTTATCATATTATACGGTATGTATGCAAGTCTTTATTTGTTTAGATGTCGTCGGTATTGTATGTATGAATGTGTGTTTTGCTTGTGTTTCTAGATGAGATATCGCTGGTAAACCCAAACGTCTTCCATATTTTGTTGTTGGTTTTCATACTTTGGATTTCGTTTTGTGTAAACAAAAACCATTTGGCCATAAAGATAACAGCGAACGTAAAAAAAATTCTTTATTTTGTCTGCCTTACAGTTCTGGGTTGCCTTGACTTGAGTCAAATACCTTGATGGAAGACGTTAAAAAAATTTGTCAATTAAACAAAGTTCATTTATCAGCAATTATCATCAGCATTTCTCCATATGATTGTATTGGTTTTGAAATCACAGCATATCTTGCTGTTGTTCTTGTTTTTTTTTATAAGTATCCACAAAACGTTCGAATTTAAAATTATTACTAACACACAAATATAGATATATTGTGCATGATTCATTCATACATTAAATAGAGGTTGTGTCTACTGCTACTACCTCAATGACGGAGGCTAAATGAATTGTGTCACACATTAATTAATTTTTTGTTTTTGGGTACCAAAGGGGTCAGATATTGAGATATGAATAAAAGGCAATTAAGAAATTAAGTTTAAATAATAGAATATGTGGAACAAGTCAATTAAATGGGCCCGATTGCAGATCGTTTTGGAATTATCACACATATTTGTAAGGGCCCTGATTAAACGATATGCTTGGAATAACTTTGACCACACTGTGGTGCAGGGCATTATGTCTTTGTGCATATGTTTGTATCAAGCAAAAGGAAACAATATGGAATCATGGTTCTATGTTAGAATATGCATAGAATCACTTTCTGAGTCGAATTATGCATGTCCGTCAATCTGTTCATGCTAAATTGTAAACAGGTCGCATTTTTGATCCGAATGTAATGAAATTTCGCAAAGTTCATTTATTTGACCCAAAAACGAACTTTTTTGAAATTGGAGAAAATCAATTGAGATTTTTATGTAAATGGTGCACCAAAGTGCTAAATTTAGTTCTATAGCCACAAAATGTTGTACAACGTACTGAAGTTAGTATATCCTAACATTTGTCAGGTTTTGATGAAAACGGTTTAGATTTAGATATAACTTCCATATATATATTTTTGTCCGATGATATGTAAATGCACCAAACTCTCAAGGTTTGTCCGATTAAGAGGAAATTTAGAATACCATTCTGTAATAAGGTTATCATGACGTGAGTTAAGTTTCCTGAAAATCATTTAAGATTTAGATATAGATATATTACATGTGTTAAATTTGCTTTAAATAGGTTCGGATTTAGATATAGCTCTCATATATATTTTATATAAACATCTGAGACTCCGCCCAATTGGCAGGGAATTTTGTACAGATTTCAGAATAACATGTGAATGGTTGATTTAAATTGGTTCATAAATCTATGTAGATCAGGTATATTATTTCATCCGATTTCATGGCAATGGTCCTGCAAATTATTAGAAAAGTACGTATGTTAGGCTGGGTTTATGTCGGTATATATCTCACTGTATCTTGTAATAAGAATCTTAGGAGCATCTCTTGTATATACCCATAGTGGTGGTGGCCCGTCAGACTTCTGGACCAGTGGACCATTTACATGAGGAGGCAATGATCTTACCCGTACATTGTCACAACAGGATGTTGTCGATGCAATACATGCTTAGATGTTATCGCCGGAATCATCTATGCCATCACCTTATGAATAGAATTCCCCACCCAGGCAAGTAAGGAGAGAGAGAGGTCCAACGCTATAAAAGAGAACCCTTAGATCAACAGGTTTATCGAGCAGGAATTACCAGCATTCACAGGGAAGAACTGACCAATACCATGTGAATATACAAATATATATATATACAAAAAGCCTGTAGATAGTTGCTACAGGCTTCTTAACTTCTCTTACGTTTGGAAATACATGTTGTCTTGTATTTCCCTATGCTTTCTAAAATACACTAAGGCAATATGTGTATCAATTTAAAGCGATTGAAGTCCTGGAAAGTCCACACTTCCTTAAATATTGGCTTCCAAAAATTAGCTACGTGACAAAATTTAAACAGAATAGTCTTTTTGTGTGGGCCGGTCTCTTTTCTTCTATGGACAGATGCCAGCACCGGCAACGCAACACAATTACTTTTTAAATATAATAGTTTTTGTGAGGCTTGGAACGTGGTCTTTCAAGTTGGAGGAGATGTGCACAAGACCGATGCACTTGGAAATCTTTTTTAAGCTCGGCTTATGGAATAACCGTTCTGTAACAAACCTGCTAAGTAAGAGCGTTTTTGTGGATAACGACCTTCGGCGACTTTATTGACAGATGCCAACACTGGCAGAATCTACTTTAAAATAGAATAGAATGGACTTCAGCCATAAAAATCAACACACCAGTCACTGCCTTGCAGAATTGGGAGAATACAAGGGTCTCACCCCCATACATAAAACCCATATGTGCTGAGGATTACAGCAACATATCCTTTGTTGCTATAATCAGAGGATTTAGATAGGTTTGTAGAAAATGTCTGGCTTTAAAGTCCCTCCTTTAAGGTTTCCAACCAATCTACATATTTACAGCTTTTTCCAAGTAGGTCCAAGCTCATAAAGTCGCTATGACCTAGAACCATGAATTAGTTTCAAATTAACAGTCTATGGCTGGGTTGCCCTGAGGGCCGCCAACATGGCTGCCATCACGGTTGCTAGAATTTCGGCTTAAAAAAGCCTCAACATCCAATATATAAAATTTTTCAATATTCCACATTTATTTCAGTGAGAGAATAACTATTGCAATAATGTACATCGTTCTTTTAAAGATATTATTATCATTTGTTTTTTAACCCAAATTGAAGGTCCTTTCAGTGATGTTTATATGCGCTTTTTCTGAATTTAATATTACTCTTTACGAGAAATAACTATTACGAAACATACGCATATCGGAATTACGTGGCGGCATTATACGCTCGCTTCTGGCAGCCCGTTGGCTCCTTCTTGCCAATCTATCTCTGGGATGTTCAACCGAACGACTTTGATATTCTTCCGAGGGCATTGATTGGGAATAGAATTCGGTAGCACGACGACGTGGATACAGTTCCATTTGATTGGTATTTAGATAGCCGAAAGGGTTCTAAAACAAGGCATTTTCCGCAAAATAAAATTACAAAGTTCAAAATTATTCTTTATGGACTTACATTAGAGGGATACATTTTGTAATTATTGTTTGATTTGAAAGAAAAAAGTAATTTTGAATTCTTTGAAAATATGAAATAATTTTAATTTTTGATTGCCAAATATAGAATGAAATGAAATTTTCAATGAAGTATTTTTTTTTTTGTAAAATTTTATTTTAAGGCACCAGGCCACATATATCTTTTTTTCAATGTTCCGATTTAGATTAGGAAGTTTCATTTGCAAAAATTAAAAAAAAACATTGTTCTAAAAAGTCCAAAATAGTCTTTAAAACTTCCACGATACTTGTAGGTCTTGGAATAATGCTCTTGCAAAATAATACCGCTTTTAGGCTCTACTTACTATATGGAGGTCTATGAAAATAATTTTTTAAACATGTTCGAGCTTCATTGGTCCTTAAACAAGTATTCGCAAATTATTAAAAAATCTTTTAATTTTCAAATCAACGCAACCCATCTTAACAAAATATTATTTGAAATCCGTTATCCTTTGAAGAAATTATTTTTAAATAAAATTCTTGAAAAAAATACATCTTACTGGACTTTTAAAAAACATTGTAAGTGGGTTTAAACAACATTGGGCTTTACGGATTTTTGAAAAAATATTTCTCAAAAAATCCAATTGATTCATGAAATATATTTTTTAAATATTCCAGCTGTAATTGCTTTTGCTATTAAAAAATCCATGCCCATTTTGGGCCTTGAAAAAAATAATCTTCAAAAACCCCTCGCCTTAACAGTATTCTTAAAAAAATCCTTAAAAAATTTACTTTGAAAAGTTATTCTGGAAAAATGCATACCTATTTTGGGTTTAAAAAAAAAATTCTCAAGAAAATCCACGCCTTGGGTAGGCCTTAAAAAATATTCTTCAAAAAATTACGGCCCATTTTTAGACTTGAAAAAATATTATTTTAAAAAACCAGCATTTTATACACATTTAATTTTTTCCGAAAAAAGTATTAAAAGAGTACAAAGGTTAATAAATGGTACCAAATTTAGTATAGACTTTGAAAAAATATTCTTAAAGCAATTCACGCCTTGGAGAGCCCTTGAAAAAATATTCTTAAAGAAATTCACGCCTTGGAGAGCCCTTGAAAAAATATTTTTTAAAATAAAAAAATCCACACCTTGGATAGACCTTGTAAAAATATTCTTAAAGAAATTCACGCCTTGGAGAGCCCATGACCTAGACCTTGTAAAAATATTCTTAAAGAAATTCACGCCTTGGAGAGCCCTTGACCTAGACCTTGAAAAAATATGCTTTTAAAATTCCACGCATTGGATAGACTTTGAAAAAAAAAATATTTTTTCAAAAATCCACGCCTTGATAGACTTTAAAAAATATTCATTAAAAAATCCATGCCTTGAATACCCCTTGAAAACATATTCTTTAACAAATCCACGCCTTGGATTGACTCTAAAAGGTATTTTTGAAAAATCCACGCCTTGCATTGGTTCTTGAAAAATAACTATTTAAAAAATCTACGCTTGAGAAGGTTTTTGAATGTTATTTGAAAAATCACCCTCTGCTGGTTGTGGTAGAAAAATTCTTCTTTTTTAAAAACCTGTGTTAATGATTGGCCTTTAAAAAATATTTCTTCAATCGTCCACAATCTGATTTTGGAAAACCAAAAAAAAAAGAAAATATTTTATTAGAATTACATACTGTGCTGAATATATTAATCGTATAACGAAAACTTACATTGGGGTTTATACTGTCGTTTCCATACAACTTTGTATTTTTTTCATTTAAATGAATCATTGAATTTACACTAAAAAACGCATGGACGAAAATACCACTGAATACCGTGGTATTCGATTTCTGTCCCTAGCCTTTTAGAATCAAAGTTCAAGAAAATGGAATATTTTTGTCGTTTTTTAATGGTAATATATCTTATCTGTTGAAAAAAAGAAATGAAATTAATTAAATCATTAATTAATAAATAAAAAATGCAAACACTGGACAATAATCAGTAATCCATATTTTTTAAAGTTCTTCATTGTCACCCATAAATAATACACACTTTTTGCTAATATTTTGAAAGAAACTATTCTTTTTTATTTATTTTTTATATTCTGTTTTGTCTCTTCATTAGCAGCAGCTGTTGTTGTTGCTGCTGTTGATTTATATGCCTTCTTATAGAAATCATAAAACCCATAAAAGATAACAATGACCACCACACAGTAGTACCATCTCAATATGAGTGGCACACCACAATTGCTCCACATGACCAGCGATTGGATCAAAATGAAAATGAATTGAATCATTTGAATAATGGTTATGGATTTCTTGACATACAGCAGATGTCGCATGAATTCCGTGCTGCAAATGTTCGCAAGTAAATAATACGTGTACATTAGCACATGGACCCAACAATTCAGAAAGATCGGGTAGAGGGCTCCATTGCCTGGAAGTGGAAGAAGAAGAACAACAAAACATATGGAATGAAGATAATTTTTGATTTTTATAAATTGTTTTTTTTTTTTTTTATTTTGTTTTTGCAAAATAGTCAGGCTGAATCCCAGTTTGTTGTTTTTATAAAAAACAACTATTTATTTTTTTTTATTTATATGCTTGTTTTTTTGTTCCTCACACCTTACCTCGATAATATCGTAGCATCAGATACACCATTGTTATCGTCGACGAATGATGAAAAACGTGCAAATATGTTATTTGATTGCGTTTCTTTCTCAACACAAATACCACTGTATCGGTTAGTTCGATTATCTTTAACCAAAATGTTACATAGGTTAAGTAATCGAATCGTTGACGATCTGATGTCCCGTCTTTGTAGAAGGTACATTTTTGAAAATCGAAAATGTCCCAGGATGTCAGTTGCCAAACCTAGAAGAAAGAAAAGAAACAATATTCATTAAACAGAAGATCCACAAAAGGTGTGTTTTTTGTAAAAATAATTTTTTTCAAGGATCAACATAAGGCCTGGATTTTTAAAAATGTTTTTTGAAGATCAAAACATATTTTTTAAATATTTTTTGTACTTTATGCCAATTTTCGTGCAAATCGAAGGGTATATAGGGACTTTGGTGCACCATTAACAAAATCGGACGAAAATATATATGGGAGCTATATTTAAATCTGGACCGAAAATTAGCACACATCATTCTATACTCAATTCAGTACTCTATGCCAAATTTCGTACAAATCGAAGGATGTAAACGGAGATTGGTGCACTATTTACTTAAAATCGGACGAAGCTATATCTAAATTTGAACCGATTTTTTCCAATTTCAATAGGGGTCGTCCTTGGGCTGTGTTAAATTTCATGGGCCGACGAGGCGAGAATGACACCCCTATAAACCATCTCAAAAGGTCTGGGTCACTACATTTTTAATGTGTCCCCCTAACGCTGGGGTGTCATGCGGCCTCGTGCCTATGCGCGTTCTACGGTTTGCAATCAGCTCTGGGTTGACTCGCCCTTGTCGGACGAGGAAGACATCATGGAAACTACGGTGATTAGCACCACAGTGATAAACACAGTAGCGACCATGGCGTCTCCTCCGAAGCAAGGAGAGTCCTCCCAGTTGCTGACTAGGGAAGTAAACCCTGGCGAGGTTGAGGATCTGCACTCAATCTCCACGGCCTGTAGTGACGTCGCGAGACTACTCAGGCAATTGGCTGTCGAAACAGATACTGGCACTGATGAGAACCCCGTCGGTAAGATGGATGATTCATCAGTACCAGTATATGTACTGGAGAACAGTTAACTACTGTAACCGATACGTCGGACGGGACAGCGACTCCATCACGGGAAAGGAGTTCCTCTTAATCAAGAGGAAACTCAAATTTATCCGGAAGTTTTCCAGGAACTATCCAGATGATATTGAGAGGGACTTCTTGATTGATAAGATCCCCCGACCCAGTACTAAGACCACCACGGTAGTCCCTTCAAAGAAGGAGAAACCTGTTGGTGGCACTAGTACATCCAGGAAGCTGATGCCTGAGACTTCCAATCCCTCAGTACCCCCCAAGGGCAAACTGAGTACTGAGACGTCCCAGACATCAGCATCCACAAAGACGGAAGGTAGAGGACTGTCGAAGTCAGCCTGAAGGCGAGCCTGTTACAAACATATGCACAAAGACATAGTACTCCATACCCCATTGTGGTGAAGGGTATAAAAAGTGGAGTAAAAAAATTATGGACAAAAAAGGCGTGGATTTTAAAAATAAAATTTTCAAGGACGAAAAAGTAGTGGATTTTAAAAAAATCTTTCAAAAACTTAAAGACCTTGATTTTTAAAAACTATTTTTTAAAGGGCTATCATAGTCTGTAGATTTTTTTAAAAAATTTTTGAATAGATTATCATAAGACGTGGGTTCCCAAAAGAACAGTCTTTAGAAAATCCAGGCCCTGTGTGGGTCCCCAAAAAAGTATTCTTTAAATACCCATGCCTCAAGTGGTTCCCTAAAAGAAAATTATTTAGAAAATCCAGGCCACGTGTAGATCCCCAAAAAGGATGTTTAAAAATCTACGCCTTGTGTGGGTTCCTAAAATAACATTCTTTAAAAATGACATGCCTCGTGTCAGTTCTTAAAAAAAGTCAGGCCTTCTTCAAAACATTGAAAAATGTTCTTTTAAAATCCACGCCTATGAAAGTCCTTAAAAATATATATTTTAGAAATCTACAATTTATGCTGATCCTTGAAAAAAAATATTTTCTTTTAAATTCCCGCTCTGATAGTCATTGAAAAATAATATAAGGGGTCCTTGTAAAATCATAGCACACTTACCTTATTTATAAGGTAAAAACATGATACCACCTGGAAAATATTGTAAATCGATACAAATGTTTTTAAATTGTATGGCTGGCGATCTTTCATATATCTGAAAAATTAGAAATGTATTTTTCTTTAAATAATATTCCATAGGGTTGGTGTATATTCTTGTTATCCTTTACTTACTCTGGTCCAATTTTGTAAATTAACAGCAGGTAGATACCAATTACGCTAATAAGAAATACTGGTGATGACATGCCAAATCGGGTCTCCGATTCGATGACTAAAAATTGTACAAAAGGATAACAATTTGTTTTTATTCATTTAATATTGTTTTATTATTTATTCACCATGTAAATCTTCCAAAAGAGCAACCATATTTTTCACGCCTAGTTATTTTCTTTTTATAATTTTTCTGCCACGACACTACTTAACCGTTTCGAACAAAACTTTATTTCCAAATATCATCCATTTATATATCAACCTGGAGCTATATATAAATAATGATATTTTTTTGTTTTCCCAATATGCTGTTCTATCGTAGAATTTGACTCATGGCGCGATCAATTCAAACTGAAAAATATATCGCCAGCAATTTGGAAATAAGTGCACCACTATACTTAAAGTGTCAATTTCTTTTAGCAGCCCCGATTTTTCACATCTACCCGAAGTGAGTGAACAACTTAGTGAGTGCAGTAGTAATTAATAGTATGTGTATTTCTGATTTACTTCGAAAAAAAAAAAAGTTCAAAGATCCCACCAAACGCATATTGTTTCGATAACATTTCCAAACGATTAACACTTCGAAATATATGCACATTTAATTATTTGCGAAAGTGATCACAATTGTTACTAAATCGATGGTGACAATTAGGTAGTTGAACCTAATTACCGGGAGGGGGTAAAAGTTTTATTCTTTCCTCTTTTGTATTTCTATTTTATATACTTACATATAAATTGTAAATGTTTTCATCGCATGTAAACATTTACAATTTACTTTTACTTTGTAACTATGTAACTGTTTGTTTTTTTCCATTTCAGTCAAAAGAGAAAATGATGAAGGGTGTACGCCGTGGCTGTGTACGACTGAAAGATGCCGTCATCGGTATTGACGATCAGGAGGATAACACCTTTACCATTACTGTCGATCATAAGACATTTCATTTTCAGGTAAGTGTCATATGCCATATCCTGAAGAAATTTTATATTTTTTTATTTTAGTAAAAGAGATTCAAAAGTACCAAAATGTTTTGAAACCTGTGTTTCATTGACGCCAAAAAGAGTGGCTTGTTACATTAGCACCCAACGTGAATGCCTTGTAGGGCCCCTCAAAAATTATTCTAAAAAAATAAACGACTTGTGTGGGTCCCTCAAAAAATATTTGTTAAAAATCCATGCCTAGTACGGTCCCTAACAAATATTCCTTAACCGCAACGTAAACTAATTGTCCTGAAGAAATTACAAGAATCGCTCATTCTGCAATCGCCATTCGAACAAGATACATAGTATCAATCTGATAAGATTAGATTTCGAGTAACCTGTTTCACTGACGCCCAACGAGGAACCTGTTACATTATCATCCAACGTGAATGCCCCTCAAAATATATTCAGTTCCCTCAAAAAGTATTCATTAAAAAACCATGCCTAGTAGGGTCCTTCAAATAATATTCGTAAAAAACCATGCCCTCAAAAATTATACGTAAAAAACCATGCCTAGTAGGGTCCCTAAAAAATATTCTTTAACAAATACATGCCTAGTAGGGTCCCTAAAAATATTCTTTAACAAATCCAAGCCTTGTTTTTTGTCCCGAAAAAAATATTCTTTAACAAATCCAAATCACACAAAAAATAAATATGCACAGTTGTTTTGTACATGAAATTGAAAAACGGTCAAAATTACCGCCTTCGGAAGTCTAGTGTTAAAGAAATATTCTTTAACAAATCCATGCCTTGTGCGGGTCTTTAAAGAAATATTCTTCAACAAATCCACGCCTTGTGTGTGTCCCTAAAAATATTCTTTAAAAAGCCATGCCTAGTATGTTCGCTAGAAACTATCTTATATATATATATATTCTTGTCTTATTTGGTCCAATGGACACGCAAGTGGATATTAACCTTTTCAAAAATATTAAAAAAATTAGATGAACTTCCAAAATATATTTCTAAAAAAATTTATATTTTTCAAATATATACACCAACGTTATAATTATTCCTCCTTTTTCTTTCAGGCCCAACACAGTGAGGAACGTGAAAAATGGGTGCGTCGCCTAGAGGATACAATACAACGTCATGCGAATCGTAATCGCATGTGGGACAATCAAAGTGCATTTTATCTTGGTGGCTATAACAAAGACTTGACAAATAAACGTGCAAATTATTTGGAAATATTCGGACGACGTGTCTCCGAAGCTGATGCCTATCTACAGCTGATGATTGAACAAACAAATGTAGGTTTCATATAATATAATATCTCTCAATAATCCCTGAAAAATTATTGTTATTTCTCTTTGTTTTTTTTTCAGACAATTGAAAGACGTATTAACGAAATCTCCGATCCCGATGAAAAGGCCAAATGTAAAGTGTTACAGGATAATGCTAGTGTGAGTATATAACATAATTTTACTAATTTATTATATACATGAGGGTCTATTTAATGCGAGGAATTTGAAATATGGGTCTATAAAGTATAGATTTTTAAGAGAAAAATTTTGAGGGCCTATTATAGGCAATGTATATAAAAAAACACATTTTTAAATGTATATTTAAGGCTTAGATTTTCTACATATATTTTTGGAAGGTCTATTATAGTTATCGATTAAAAAATGAAGATCTATAAGGTGTGTAGATTTTAAAGCACACTTTAGAAGGTTCATTTAAGGAGTAGTAATTTGAAGAATATTTTAGGGGGTCTATTTAAGCCGTAGACCTTTTAAGAATATTTTTGAGAGTCTATTTGAAGTTTATGAATATACTATTTTCGAAGGAATTTCTAAGACGTCGATTTTTTTAAGAATATTTGTGTGTGAACTTTGGCGTGGTTTATTAATATAATATTTTTTGAATATATATTTAGTAGTATATCTTTTAAGAATATTTTTGAGGGTGTATATTTAAGTGTGGTTTTTTAAAATAATATTTTTTGAAGGTGAATTCTATGCCTTTTATAAACATGAATTATTAAAAGAATATTTTTGAATGTCTATTTAAAGAATGTCTATTTTTAAAAATACATTTTGAGGGTCTATTCTAAGCGTAGATTTTCTTAAAATACATTTTCAGGTTCTATTTTGAACTTCTACTTAAGACTAAGATTTGTTTAAGAATATCTTATATTCCTATATTCTATCTTATGTTGTAGATTTATATAGAGAAAGCTATCGGAAGTTTTTACTATGATATAAGCATACTCGATCGGCAATCCCAAATTAAATTTCGCATACATTGAATTGCAATGTAAAGCATTTCGAATAATTTTTGGTTGTCAGACATTTCCTCATTAATTAATTTTAACATATGATGTTGATTGGTATTCAATTCAAGAAATTAAGGTTTAATGCACTCTTCCATTGATAAAAATAGACATGCATATATACAAAAAAACCCACACACAGTAACAACAATATATTAATAATATTAAAATTGCATTTTTTCTATATGCATATTTTTTTTTTAATTGTCGTGTGTCTTGAATAAATTAAATGATTACAACATCAATATAAAGAATATATTTTGATGTACATCAATTAGAATGAAATTTGCTTTACTCTGAATCCAATCGAAACCGAAAAAATTTAAATTTTGTTGTTATAGGCGTCGATGTTTAAAGAATATTTTTGAGGGTCTATTATAGGTATCGATATTTGAAGAATATTTGGATGATATATTCTAGGCGTATATATATATGGGCAATATTGCCAATTTTTTAATATTCCATTTTCAAAAAATCAGCTTTTTTGTTTTTGTGGCACATCAATGATTTTTGGTACACATATAGAGAAAAATGTTCTGACTCCGAAACCGTTCGCGATCAAATTTTTGGTTGATGCGCGCAAAAGTTATCGAGGTTTTAATTTTGGGCATAAGAAAAAAATCTTAAAATTACGCCGTTTATTATATTGACCAAAAACGTTGATATATATCTTCCTCCGTAAAATAAGAATATGAATATATTATAATAATCACGATAAAGTTGCACATATTCGCGAAATATGAGACAAATAAAAAATATATAGCAGATTACATCAATAATTTTAATATATTAATGACATACACACACCTAAAAAATAATTTAAAAATATCCACATAATCTAAACACCATGATGAATCAAATGATATCAAAATCACACAAGTCCGTGTAGCGGTTTCTAAATCAAGCGACAACAAAACAAGATATTGAGGAAAATATTTGTTTTTGGTTGAAAAAATAATGTCATCAAATTTATTTTTTTAATTGTATACAAGAAATTTCAGAAAAAAATCTTGGGGTTATTCTGCTATTTTACCCGAATTTCGCCGAAAAATTGACATATATAATAATAATCACTTTTTGTGTATAAGTATACGCCTTGCGGATTATATCAAGACCCTTCCCATAAATCTTAGAATTCTATAAATAGGAATAAATCTTAAAATAAAATAATATTATGAAATATACATTTTAAATTGCGTCTAAATCGCGTAATTCTCAAAATCATTTGATGCGCATGCGGTTTCCAGGAAGTACTGAAGTTTATCTTCCAATCCATATATATTTTGCGAAATTTCATTTGACGGTTAAGATGTGCCACACGTTGCATTGAAGTACCCAAAAAATCGTAAAACGCGAATGATTTCCGAAAACTCCATATGTCATTAACGCGCATCCGATTTCGGTGTGCACCCTAAAAAAATACATCGATCTATACCGATTTCAATGTGGTCCATTAAGAACCATGGATGTGCCAGCTCACACTATTTTTGAGATAAATTGGGTACATCTCTCTTTCGGCTGAAGTTTTTAAAGTTCTCTTTTCGAAAAAGATCAAAATCCGTATGAGGTCATTTATTGAAGCGGAAATGATTCCCAGAAAACGCAAATAAATCCGCGATATTTTCAAAAACATTTTTTGTCAAATTTCGTGTTTTTGGAAGGCCAGTTCCCGCCGTTCTAGTAGATGGATCTTCATGAAGAAGATTTTATATCATCCGAAACGTAAAAAACTTTATTGATCGCGGGTACCCATATCATTCAGTTGACAGATCTAAAAATTTGGCCCGAAAAATAGGTTTTTTAGAAATTTGATCGCACAAAATTTCCACTTTCGGATGAGTATTACTCTGAAGCTGTGCATACTACATACACAAAATACATATCAAATTACGCAGATTCGCGACTACAATAATCTTATAATCGATTTCTAGAAATTCATGTTCGCGTATTAAAGCTAGAAGTAAAATTAAAAAAACACTCAAAATCGAGCTTCAAAATGTCAGCATCATTTAAAGGTAGATGCAGTGAAAATTTTGAAAAATGATACATAACGGGCGTAGTCCCCATTTTGTTGGCTTCTAGTTTTACTTTGACACGAAGACCGTGAAATGAGTGGCTTAGTCACAAATCGATAGAGAACATAAAAAAACTGGTTCGCCTCAACCTGTTTTTACACATTTTTTTACATTAAAGTAGACACAGCTTCCACCAAAATAAAGTTTGGAGGTCAATATCATGAACAGTTTGCAACGAGAGATCAATTAACCCAAAACTATTCACTTTTTTTCATATACTTAAGTAATTCCCGAGTTATAAAGGGGTGAACCTCCGCTTCAGCTATGTTAAAAAATTGGCAATATTGCCCATATATATATATATATATATGTGTTGATGTTAAATTGTAAACAAGATACAGGTCGCATTTATAATCCGGTTTGGATGAAATTTGGTACAGCTCATTTATTTGGTCTAAGGAACGACCCTATTGAAATTGGTGAAAATCGGTTCAGATTTAGATATAGCTCATATATATATTTTCGTTCGATTTTATATAAATGGTGCGCCAAAGACCCTAAATATATTACGATTTGCACGAAATTTGCCATAACGTACTGAATTAAGCCTAGAATGATGTGTGCTAATCGGTTCAGATTTCGATATAGCTCCCATATATATTATCGTCCGATTTTATGTAAATGGTGCACCTAAATCCCTATATTTCTTTCGATTTGCACGAAATTTGGTATAGGGCACTAAATTAATTCTAGAATGATATGTGTTAAGTTTTGTGAATATCGGTTCAGACCCAGACCGACTTTACTACTTTTCTTACTGGTCGTTATGTATATTTGAGTACAGGAGTTTTCAAGAATATTTTTTAAAGTATATTTAATCCATGAGTTTTTAAGAATATCTCTATGGCATATTCGTCAATTCCTCCCTACCAAATCCTTCGTCTCCATCATATTTTATGTCATCAGCCTATCGAAAATGTTCATATAATCACTATATTCGCAAATATTCGTAACCAATGTCAAAAGTCAATTTATCATGAATTGGCATTGGTCATGAACGAAAAGATGGGCTGGCTGACTGGCTAAGGGTGGGCGATGTTTGTAAAAAGGTGCGGATTGTCAGATTAAATTCTTCCACGAACAACAACTGACACCTGTTAATTGACACACATTGTGTGGCTGGCTGTTTGACTGCCTATACAAAAACATGACGACGACGATGATGATGAGGACAATAACACATATGTGATACGACAACCACTCTACCACTTATCCTTCATAACCATAGACTGGCTGGCGATGCTAATAATAAGGGAAGGAAAGAAAATAGAAAAACAAGGTAAAAAGGAATCAAAGTAGCTGCTCTAAATGAATAGTATGAGAGGTTCAGATAGAAAAACAGAAAAATAACCAAAGTAAATAGCAATAACAACAACAAGTATGACAAGAGAGAAAGGGTTACGAGTATTTTTTTCGTTTACAATGGCCTTGTCAAGGGTCAGGTGACAATAAGAGAAATAAATATCCTCCGTGTAAAGAAACTCATTAATGTTCGACGATACACAGGGGATTTTTTCTTTATTTATTTTTTTAATTTTAATTTATTTTCTTGTGTTTACTTTTCTTACAGGCCATGCTGGATCACATCAAACATTCTATTGTTAGCCTACAAATTGCCAAAAATATGGCCCATCCTGTCAATGGTATCTATAATGGACCCACAGGTGTATCACCGAAAACAAATTTGGATACTCCGCAGACAACAACACCCACATCTATGGGCAGCATGAACATCATGAAGTCGACAATGGGTGGCGAAGATGAAGAGGATTCGGTAACCGATAACTGTAAGTTCAATGCGTATATTTTAATGACTTAATTTTTTTATTTTTTTTAAATATCTTCTATGTGTCATTTAGATTCAAGTTTACATTTGAGAATGTCCATTGAGGGAATTCTAACAATAATAGATTCAATGAAGGTGTTATATCAAGGGCGTGGATATTTCAAGATTATTTCGATTTTGATTTTTTAAAGTTTTTTTAGAGGTCTATTAAAATATATAGATTTTGAAGATTATTTTTTGATACTTTATTGTATACGTTTTTTTTAAAGATTATTTTTTGTAGGTCAATTAAAGGCATGGATTTTTTAAGGACTATTTTTTGGAAGTCTATTAGAGGGGTAGATTTTTTGGGGGTCGTAGGTTTTTAGAAAAATAGGCGTAGATTTTTTAAATAATATTTTTGAGGGTCTAATATGGGCGTAGATTTTTTACATACTATTTTTGAGGGTCTAATATGGGCGTAGATTTTTTACATACTATTTTTGAGGGTCTAATATGGGCGTAGATTTTTTACATACTATTTTTGAGGGTCTAATATGGGCGTAGATTTTTTACATACTATTTTTGAGGGTCTATTATAGGCGTAATTTTTTATATAATATTTTTGAGGGTATTTTATAGGCGTTTAGATTTACTTGAATATTTATATTTCTCTAGAATCATCACCTACACATTCTTTTTCTTCTTCTTTTTGTCTAAAAATAACCCAAAATTGTAGAAAATGTTACGCTTCCGTAATGTACACGTGTTTGCCTACATATCCTCCATACATAGTACACATTTATAATAAGTAATAATAGATTGCAATTTATATTTGTTCTCTCTCATTTCCGCAACTTCCCAAATACTCTCTTCATGGTGTTGTATGGGAGTACAACAATATGACCACAAAAGTATGCCGGTACTTTAGTGTTGTTGTGGCTAACCACAGGGCAATGTGGCCGGACACAGGTCGATTATCTATTTTTTTCATACCCATATATCACTTGTTTCCGTTTCCGGCGCTGTTGGTGTGGAGTGGGGTGTTCTGCTAAGCTTTGTCCCAAATATTTATTTTGTTTTTTTGTCTGCACAATATATTTATAAATGTACTACACTTGACTACAAAGGCCAATTACGTCCATGGGCCTGGAATTATTAAACAAATATTTTTCAGAGCTATTTTTTAGAGATTGTTTTGTTAGGGATTGGTTTTTTATAAAGACACACGGACCAATTGGTATTTATAAAGACCCTGGGATCTCTATACAGCCCAAGTGGTCTTTATAAAAACCTGTGGTCTAAAGACTGGTGGTATCTATACAGCCCAATTGGTATTTATAATGACTTGGGGGTCTCTATACAGCCCAATTGGTCTTTATAAAGACCTGGGTGTCTCTATACAGCCCAATTGGTCCCTATACAGACCAATTGACTTTTATAAAGACCTGGGGTCTCTATACATCCCAATTGGTATTTATAAAGACCTGGGGTTCTCTATACAGCTCAGTTAGTCTTTATAAAGACCTGGGGTTCTTTATACAGCCCAATTGGTCTTTAAAAACATATTTTAAAATTCACCTTAATAACTCCGAGTATATACCCATAGAAAGACATCTGCTTATCCTTCTGTTGTCCTGTGTAACCAACGTGTTAGCTCGTTTCTTTTAATTCTCTTTCCCTCCAAATTGTTGCAAATATTCATGAGAGGAGTGCATGCGCTTGTCGGTTATAGTTCATTTTTTTCTTATAAACTATTTCGCTCACTTCATCGACCCAACCTCCTCCCCCCTCCTACAGTCCGCCACAACCACCAACATTGGTAAATATGTCCTTTGTTTGCATTCGCATGTCCTTATGCAGTTATTGCAAATTTTAGTGCAAAATCGGCTTTGTGGAAACGTAGACGACCATTCGCAAATAAAGTTTCGCTGACGGGCTGTGTGCGGTTTTCAAATTATTTTTCTGTTACTTCTTGGGTTTATTATAAAAAAAAAACAAGTTTTGAAAATTGTCTCCAAGCCATATTAAATTCGTGTTCGATTACCTAAATCGTGGCAAAAAAAACTTTGTGAATTTTATTAACCTCCCGCTTCACGTTTTGGTGTCTTGCAACAAAGTTGATGTAATATTTGTGTGTGTGTGTTTGGTTGTGCTTTTTATTTTCGTTTTTACATATCCTTGGCGGTAAAAAAACAAACGACGTGTTTCCATTCTAAGTTTGTCGCCGTCTTCGTTCGTCATTATAAGAGAATACATCAATAAGTAAGTACGACTAGTCACCGGTGTTCGCTGAGGTGTTTGTTTGTATTACATAAACTCTAGGCAATCATTTCGGATTTTTTCTCTCGAATATCCGCTAAAATCCCCACTTAAAGGGTCACGTGTCACAAGCCAATAACAACGGCAGCACCATCACCATGAGTTATGATTTGAGGTTTATTTGTGTGTGTGTGTGTACAGAGTATTTGTGTGGACCATTTATTTTGTTTTGGCAGCAGCAATTTGTTGGCAGACCACAAAATCAAATGTCATCCATAACCTTTGGGTACTTTTTTTTTCTTCTTGAATGGAGGCTCTTTTATTGACTGAGGTTATCCTGTCAATGATTAATGATAAACACTTGTTAAAGTCGGTTATCACCGTCACTGAAGAGCCTTTCTAAATCAATAAATGTGTCAAATTTAAAGAAGTGTTATTTATGTTCGGCAAATTTACGTGAAATGGAGATGCGGATTTCCTAATTTTTTTCTTCCTTGTAAATGAAATTACTTACAAATATGTTACTAATTACAGGAGTCAACGAAATCAATTGAAGAGAGATGTTGGAATTCCATAAAGATTACCGAAGAGGAATGAGGCGACAGATGTCCTTAAGACCCCCAGGTCTTTATAAAGGCCAATTGGGCTTTATAGAGACCACCGGTATTTACAAAGACCAATTAGGCTATATAGAGACCCCCAGGTCTTCATAAAGATCAATTATGCTGTATAGAGACCCCCCGGTCTTTATAAAGACCAATTGGGCTGTATAGAGACCCCCGGTTCTTTATAAAGACCAATTGGGCTGTATAGAGACCCCTAGGTGTTTAAAGAGACCTCCAGTCTTAATAAAGACAAATTGGGCTTTATAGAGATCTCCAGTCTTTATAAATACCTATTGGGCTGTATAGAGACCTCCGGTATTTATAAAGACAAATTGTACGATATAGAGACCTCTGGTCTTTATAGAGACCCACTGGTCTCTATACAGGCCTCTGGTGCTTATACAGGCCAATCGGTTTATATAAATTCCTGAGGATCCCTTGGTTCTTCCACAACCTTTCTCCTTGGTCCTATTCTTCTTTATGCTCTTCTAATTGGCAATCTCTTGTGTTTATGTGTTTCCAATAGCATTATCGCTTTATGACACTTTCATTGTTGTCGTCGTTGTTATTAATATATGACAATAAAAAAAGAAAATCGAAATCCAGCACAACAACCATTACAATACGATATACACTTCATCGAGGATTACGTGACCGGAAATAGAAAACATAGAAACGTAACAGTTTCCATCTTTTTTTTTTTGTCCCTTGTCTTTTGGGGGTTTTATATATTTATAACTTAAATGGCATGTTTATACGTATGAGAGAGAATTGAGACACACGACTACGGTGGCAAGACGTCAGGATGTGGCATTGCAAATTGAGACAATTACAACAGACAATGTGACATGAATATGGTCGTGAATGGGGCGAGGGGGGCGACATCATTACATTTAAGATTTTTCATTTACCATTAGCATCTCGGACACTTCTGAGATGAGATGCTGCTACCGAACTTGACAGACAGTCAGATAGACAAATGACAACGGAATGCAATTGGCAATAAGTAAGCAAGTTCAAGGACATGCAGAATACGTACCACTTGAAAGTAGGAAGAAGTGTTTTGAATCTTGTGTGTGTGTGTTTTGGATTTAAATTATTAATACGCAATAAAAATTATATAAAATTTTGGGTGGATTCAAATAAAAAAAAAAAAAACAAATAATAGGAAGAAGAGGTATATAATTGAATAAAATCTGATAGCTCACAATGCAAAAAAAAATTAACTATGTCATAAAATTGAAAGTACATGTGATAAATATTACAAAAATAAAACAAATAATTCAGTGCAATTTTAGTAGGGTTACAAAAAATATTAGCAATTAGAACTTATCTCACCACATCCTTCTAAGGTAATCAAAAAAAAATCTACTTTTATTGTATATTAAGTCTCCCTACAGACCCATTAATTATTTTTATTAATATATATTATTTTTTAAATATTTGTTAAATATTTTATTATATGTAATTATTTTTCTTTATTTTCCTTTACAGTGACAACCGCCCCACTGGCCATGGTTGTTGTACCCGAAACATCCTATTCAAGTAGTGAAGGTGAAGAAGATTTCTACGATGCAAATGATGATCCATTTACCAGTATTGTCAGTTCACCAGTTGGATGGTAAGTTTTTATATAATAATATGTTTGTTAATGACCTCGATTTTTTAGAACACGGCGCAACAGGTGTTTGTAGGGAGTAATATGACAAGGACAAGTCAAGTCTATAAGAAGGTTTTATTGTCCATTCGGGGTTCTTTAAGAAAATACGTTGTTTTTGAAGGAGCGCTCTTTGGTTTTATTAAGAAAACCATTTGTTATTTATATGAAGTCCTTTCTATCAGATATATTCGAATTTTGGAAGATGTATAACATCACAGCAATAATGCCTACGGCGTTGTTCATCTGTGGTGTACTGTACAGACCGATTTCTCGCCTACCCAAGTAGCACTACAACATCATTATAGGTCGTGCAATAAAAACTTTTGGTTGACCCTTCATTTATCGACCAATCACCCAGATCTGTTTGAGTTGTGCGCATGTAGGGGTGACGTAGGGAGTGATAGATACCAAGCAACGGCTCTGACAAAGTTCAAGTCCATATTTCAACTCATCGGTTTTTTTCAATGCCCGTTGAAATAGTGAGTTGATATTTGCCGCGAGTTTACCCATAAGTACTATCCAAAAATAGATTGAAGCGTCAGGTTAGTTGGCACACTCGGAAAACCTTACCTACTATATATAGTTGGCACATATTGTCTTGTCTCCTTTTTGTTTGTGCACGGACACAGGGTTCTGAGGTCCCAATCATTGGGAATGAATTTATCTAGTCAAATTGTACTAATCAGCTGAGGCTTGCTCTTGATCAGCATCTCACTACCGGTCTTGAATAGTACGTAGGAAATACGTATTCGAGTACAAAAGTCGACTTTTCAATTTTTCCATCTGACCAAAAAATCGATTTTAGACTTTTCAATTTTTGCATTTGACTAAAAAGTCGACTTTTCGACCTTTCGATATTGTAAAACCTTTTCAAAACCGATTTTCAACTTTTACCGACTGATGCAAAATTGACTAAAAATGTGAATTTAGTATATAAATTGCAATCAACAGATAACATAAAGTCCGGATTGTGTAATTTTTGGGTAATTTGGGCTTGGGTATAAAAAAAATCAAGTATTTATAAAGAGAATCGAAATTCGATCTTGAAAAGTCGACTTAGCAATTTCTACAAAGATCAAAAGTTAACATCGTCTTCTTGACTTTTCAATACAAAAATCTATTAATCGAATGTCGATATACTTATCCCTAAGTAAGGTAACTCATCAGCACGTTCTCCTTTATTATTCTTTAGCCGATTAATTGATATTATGACCTCATCTTGGCTAGATGGTATACAATTTATTCCGTCATCTCTTTGGTTCTGGGATATATTCTTCGCCGCTAATATTTGATATTAGAGTCCTTGTAAAATGCTCTTTTAAGACCCTCAACACGCTTCCTATAGCTGTCCCCATGTTTCCTCCTTCATCTCTACAGGAGAATGTGCCTGCACAAAAATATCTTCGATTATATGCTGTTTGTAGTCGCTCGTAGAATATGTCTTTGATATGTTCATCGTTGTCTACGGTCGTAGCATGGTCGCAAATGAGACTGATGTAGAAAAACTGCGCTTTTATACGGATTACGGCAATTTTCTCATATACTGGAGTGAATCTGGAGGCGTGGTATTTTATTATCCTGTTACGCATAAATCCGAAGCTATAATACAGTGCGAAATTATATGATTTGCTTATGCCTTTCCCTTTCCATCACATTTACTCTAAGACAATAATGTCGGCTTTGCACTTTTTGAGCCATCCGCCAAAGCGAAAAGTGTCCCTGGCGGATTTTTCGAAGTGCAGATTCGTAGATCTTGGTCTATTATAGGCCTGCGGAGGTCGTCATTATTAAGAGGGTTTGGTATTATTTTTCTTTCAATGACATTATTGGACCATACCAATGCGGCTTCAGACCTAGCAAATCCACCATAGACCAGACACATTTAACATATTCATTCGACAGCCCTATCCGCTCAAAGGTGTTTAAAGCCATGTATGTGTTTGGAATTCCTGCAGTTAAAATCAGAAAAGATCTCTCGGAGCCCTTCGGTACCGAACGATGGTTCAGACAAGGTGACAGTCTATTGTGTGGTCATAGGAATTGTATGGAAAGATAAAGTGGAAGATAGCATATCGAAACATGGTCTTTAAAATTGGAAAAAATCTGCACAAGACCGAAGCGCCTGTATTTTTTTCGGCTTATGGAACAAATGTTATGTCTCGAGACAGCTAAGCAATTATGTTTACGGATAATAAACATATGTGGAATTATCGTTATCGATTAAAATGCGACAGGGTACATTCTCATGACACCAGGATGTTGTTAGGAAAAAGTTTACATAATTTCTGTTGTCATTCCTAATTCTTCACTTCAGGGCAACCTTTCCTCCCTCCAAAAACTCAAAATTTTGTATTCATTCAAAAAGTTTTACAAGTTTCCAATATTTCGTTGTTCGCGCGCAAAACCAGAAACAAAAAAAAACACTCATCGTAATTGTAATCTCATTAGTCGTAAAATAACACCAACAACAACAAAAGTAAATATTAAAGTATCTTTATTTCGTCAACCAAAAAGTTTGAGGGGTAACTATAGTAGAGGGTGTAAGACCAGTGCAAGTTCCTTTTTCAAAAAAAAAAAAAAAATACCACATATCACATAACTTAAATGTTTGTTGTTTTTATTTTTTTGTTTGCCGGCAACATTTTTTTACGAGGAAACTCTCTTTATACGTATTAAAACACGCTACCCCAACGTCACGTCATTGTCATACAAAATAGTTTGGTGTAACAAGACCAATTGGAACAACTCAAAATATGAAATATGGTTTCATTTCATACACAATTTTCTTTTTTTGGCATTCAAAACTATATCATAAAACAAAAACAACAGTGCAGTCCTGTATTTGTGGACTGGGTAAAACTCTAGGGTATATTTGTCAAAGAAACCCTCTTCACTCCCATCAGACATGCGTATTGTGGAAATGTACTGTGTGACCGGAATATCACGTCATGCCGTTCTCTTAATATATGACAGGGATTTAAAATGCATAGCTAAATAAGGATATTCAATTTGATTTACAATAACCGGGTCTATACTTGCAAATGGGGATTTGATTACAGATTATATGAATCTAGAGTTTATTATATACAAAATTGACCCTATAAGTGAATTGAAATATCCAATATAGGTATCTCAAAAACTTGACAGACAGACGGATGGGCGGACATGCATAAATCGACTTAGAAAGTGATTCTATTCATATTCTCAAAAGGAACCATGTGTCTATCTCGTTTCATTTTGCCTGTTACAAACATATGCACAAAGACATAATACCCTGTAGCACACTGTGGTGAAGGGTATAAAAAATAAAAGCTTCTGAGGCATTTTTTATAGAAAACCATTTGTCGTCCAAGACTTTTATCTTTAAAAGGAATATTGAATAGTGTAATCGATGACGGGATCAAGACTTCTTTAGATAAAATTTAATTTAAAATACAATATTTTAATAGAAAAAAATTATTTTTTTCCCATAGAGAAAACTTTCTTTCCTAAGCTTCTAAGCATCTTTTTTAATATAACAAAAAATCGATCCTCAGTTTCCGCGCCTATTTTAAAATGTTTGTGCATTTTTAATAGAAACAAATTGAGATCCCAGCTTCTAAGGCCCTTTTTCCTGTAGAAACAATTTAGTCTTCAGCTTTTGGGGCATTTTTCTGTAGAAAAAAAAATTGCGACCTCAACTTTTGACGTCCTTTTTTTCTATAGAACAAATCGGTTCTCAGCTTCTGAGGCACTTTTTACTATGGAAAAAATCAATCAGTGTCATCTGTCCTACAGAAAAAAATCGGACCTTAACTTTTGTGGATTTTTATTTGATCAGAAAAAAATCAGCCCTTTTTTCTATAGATAACAATTAGGTCCTCAGCTGCTGTGGCATTTTTCTTTATAGAAAAAAACAGTCCTCAGATTCTGAGGCAATTTTTTCTCAGCTTCTAAAGGATTTTATTCAATAAAAAAATAATCTGTCCACAGCATCTGAAGCACTTTTTTCTAGAGAAAAAATCGGTCCTCAGTTTTTTTCTGGCATTTTTTTTTTCTCTAGAAAAAATTTGGTCCTCTGCTTCTGAGGCAATTCTATCTATAGAAAACATTTTTTTTCTCCAAAAAAAAAATTACATACACAGCTTCTGATGCATTTTTTCCTATAGAAAAAAACCGGTCCTGAGCTTCTGATTTTTGTTTTTCAAAAATCCACACATTGCATTACATCAATTAACGTATTCACCCCTATAAAAAATCGGTTCCTAGTTTCAGAGATTTGGCTATCACATTTTATAAAAAATTTGGTATTCAGCACCTGAGTATTTTTTTTATAGACCAAAATGTGGGCTTTAGGTTCAGAAAAAAATGATCCTCAGCTTTTAAGCATTTTTTTCCATACAAAAAATGGTCCTCTGATTCCGAGGCACTATTTTCAATAGGAAAACATCTGTACTCACCTTCAGAGGTTTTCTTTCAAAAATCTATATATCGTATTCGACCCTAAAATTATACACCACACATAGAAGAAAATATTACTTTTCATTACACATATAAATAGCAATCTTCGTTGTAGTAAAATTTTCGTTACAACAATTATGAGGCACCTGAAAAAATACGATTTTTTTCTATGGACAACAAATTTGGTCCCCAGCTTTTGAGGCAATTTTTACTATAGAAAAAAAATCCATTCTCAGCATCTGAGACACTTCTTTCTTTACAAAAAATGGTCCTCTGTTTATGAGGCACTTTTTTTCAATAGAAAAAAAAAGTCGGTTCACAGCTTCTGAGGTTTTTTCATTCACATTGAATTATGTAAATTAACGTATTCACCCCTAAAAGTATGCAACACACATAAAAGAAAATTTTACGTTTGATTATACATATAAATAGCAATCTTCGTTGCAGTATTTCCCAATAAGGCCCTAAAAATAATAATAAAAACTTAAAATTACTGAGCATTTTTTATAATTAAGTTTAAA